GGCTGGGCACGTCGAGGGTGGGAGCGATGCTGGCGGTGGCCATGCCCCCCGCATCGGGGCAGGGTGCGATGCCGCTGGGGGGAAGGGTACTGACCCCCCTCCCCGCATCTCCTCCCAGATCAAATCCAATCGGGACAGAGACACCAAGATCTTCTACAGCATCACAGGGCAGGGGGCGGACGCCCCCCCCGAGGGCATCTTCACCATTGAGAAGGAGTCGGGTTGGATGAAGGTGACACAGCCGCTGGACCGAGAGCACATCGACAAATACCACGTAGGTCCATGCCGGGGGTGCCGCAGTGTGCCGGCGTGCAGAGCCATTCCCCCCTGCTCACCCCTCCACTCCACAGCTCTTCTCCCATGCCGTGTCTGAGAACGGCAAACCAGTGGAGGAACCGATGGAGATCATAGTCACGGTGACGGACCAGAATGACAACAAGCCCCAGTTCACGCAGGAGATCTTCAGGGGCTCCGTGCCCGAGGGAGCTTTGCCAGGTGGGACCCCATGCCCCAGGGAAGCTCTGCCTCCCACCAGCCACATCCCTTCGCAAGAGCCTGTGGGGGACGTGGGTGCCCCGTTCCCCCTCGCATCGCACTCATCGGGACATCCCTGTTCCCAGGCACCTCCGTGATGCAGGTGACCGCCACGGATGCAGATGATGCAGTGGAGTCCTACAACGGTGTCATCGCCTACTCCATCCTCAGCCAGGAGCCGCGGGAGCCCCATCCCCACATGTTCACCGTCAACAGGGCCACCGGCACCCTTGGTGTCATCGCCAGTGGCCTCGACCGGGAGGTGGGCTCTGTGGCACCGCGGGGTGGGCGGCCCTGGTCCTTAGCAGGGAGCTGACGGGGTGTCTGTCTGTCTGTCTGTCTGCCGCAGCGCGTGCGGGAGTACACGCTGACTGTGCAGGCAGCTGACCTGGACGGTGAGGGACTCACCACGACGGCGCTGGCGGTGATCGAGATCGCAGACGTCAATGACAACGCCCCTGAGTTCGACCCCAAAACGGTAAAGTGGGCCCCCCCCCGTAAGACCCTCTCCCCACGGGCTGATGCCATGCTGGTGCCTGCCGTGCTCCGGTGCTGATGGTGCTCCGCACCCACAGTACGAGGCGTCCGTGCCGGAGAACGAAGCTGGGCGGGAGGTGGCCCGTCTGGCCACCACAGACCTGGATGAGCCAAGCACGCCGGCATGGCGAGCTGTCTACTCCATCCTGCGCGGCAACGAGGGAGGTGCTTTCACCATCGCCACTGACCCCACCAGCAATGAGGGTGTCCTCCGCACCGCCAAGGTGCGTGTCCCCCCACGTGTCCCCAGCCCTCCCTGTCTGTGGTGGGGTGCTGCCCGTCCCTTCTCCTCTCCCAGGGTCTGGACTATGAGGCCAAGAAGCAGTTTGTGCTCCACGTGGCTGTGGCCAACGAGGCCCCCTTCGCTGTGAAGCTGCCGACGGCCACCGCCCCTGTCACAGTCAACGTGGAGGACGTCAATGAGGCGCCCATCTTCGACCCGCCGGTGCAGCTTGCCCGGGTGCTGGAGGACGTGCCGCCGGGGCAGACCCTCGCCTCCTGCACAGCCCAGGACCCAGACAAGGCCCAGGGGCAGAAGATCAAGTGAGCTAGGCCAGGGTTGAGGTTGGGGTCTGGGGGGGTCCCCGCCAGCCCACGCCATGGGACTAGCGCCCCTCTGCCCCCCAGGTACCTGGTGGGGCACGACCCGGCGGGCTGGCTGGCCGTGCACCCTGAGAACGGCCTCGTGATGGCACGGGACCACCTGGACCGCGAGTCCCCCTTCACTAAGAACAGCACCTACACCGCCGTGCTGCTGGCCGTGGATGACGGTGAGGGCTGTGATGAAAGGAGCCCTTGTTCCCCCATCCCGCGTGAGGGACATGTGCTGCCGTCACCAGGAACCACGGCCTGGCTCTGGCATGGAGCAGTTCCGGGGGCTGCCTGTCCCCACCCCTGCTCGGGGCACCCCCATCCCTGTGAATGTCCTGGTTTTGGGGATCCCCCCCTCCAGCATCATTCCTCCCTGCAGGCTGGCCCCCCGCCCCGGGCACGGGCACCCTGCTC